CGAACCGAATACCGTTCGTTTGAAGAGCGGTACCGAGACGGAAAGCTTTTCAAAGCTTGACTGCAGGATTAGACACGTAATACATCTTTTGCAGGAGAGAATCATCTTCTAGGCATGCTTTACGCACGTCGTCGAGCAGATTCGACGACGGAAAACTTACTGGTAGTGTCGCAACAGAGGGATCACCCCTGCTGTTGGGTTGAGCAGTTGGCTCCAAATCGTGCCGATGCGAAAGAGCATCAGCCACAACATTCATTCGCCCTGGTTTACACTCGACGGAGAAGTTGCACTCCGCGAAGAAAGACAGCCACCTCGCCATTCGTTGCGAGAGGTGGGGACTTTTTACGGCCGTGCGTAGCGATGCATGGCCGGTATAAACGATGAAGGGCCTATCTCTTAACATACATACCTGAATCCTATCCAGTGCATATTTCATTGAAAAGCGTTCCATGTCATGCACTGGGTAGTAGTTACGCTCATCTGCTTGCAGCTGACGCGATTGGTAACAGGAGACGCGCTCCACGCCGTCTGAGTCATTATGAATTAACGCGCAGCCGATTGCAAAATCGCTGGCGTCACATACCACGTAGAATGGTCTGTCTTGGTCTGCAATCGCCAACACAGGCGATTGTATCAAGCTGTTCTTAATACCTTCGAAGAAATGCTGACATTCAGCACTCCATGACCATCTCTCGTTTTTTTAAACAAACAAGAGAGACTTACGGTCATCTCGGCGTAGTTTCGCGAGTAATTGTGCAGGTACACCGCTAAGCCAAGGAGTTTTCAAAGTCCCTAGACGTCGAATGGCACAGGCCAGTCGCTACTCGCCTTGATCTTTTCTGGATCAAGGCGTACACCGTTTTTACACACGACGCAGCTAAGAAGTGGTATTTCGTACGCTGCGAATATACACTTATTGAGGTTCGTGAAGAACTTGTGCTCACGCACAAGTGAAAAGAACCTTCCGGACGTGTATTCTATGAACATCCACGTCCGTCTTTCCATCCATAGCCCGGCTATGGACGAAGATATCGTCAAAGTAGCTCGGTGCAAAGTCTCCTACCGATCGCAACAGATCTGTAAAACATCGGTTGAACGTTGCAGGGGCGTTACTTATACCTTGTGGCATCACAAGCCACTTCCAGAGCACACTACTGGGGGTGCTCACTGCTGTTAACGGGATGTCCCGTTCACGCAAGAGGATCTGATAGAATCCATCCACCAGATCCATGGACGAAAAGATGGAACTTTTGCCACAACGCCTATGATTGTGTTCTTCCTCGGTATCGGCGTCTGACCCGGTACAGTTGTGGCGTTCAATTTTCTAAACGCGTGTACTATCCTCCACCCTCCTGTGGCTTTTCGCACACAAAAGGTCGAAGAGCTGTGAGGGGATGTTGATTTAGTCACATGACCAGAAGCTAAGCGATCGGCAAAGAATTTGTCGATCACTGTGACCTGTTCACGAGGAAGGGGCCACTGCTTCATGACACAGTACTTCGGACCGGGATTTAGTACAATTTCATGTCGAGTGCCTTTGTCTTTAGACAACTCGCATGGCACGGATTCAGGGAAACATCCTGAATTCAACCAAATCCTTATCAGCGATATACTCGTCGTCTGTGAAGAGTACGTAGATCTGCTTGATCTTGTCACTACGCAGTTCTCTCAAGGATCTTTTATATTTCAGCGCTGTCAACTTGATTACCTCCGAAGCTAACTTCGGAGGCGTAACCATATCAAGTGTATAAGCGCCTACACTTGATCCATCATTCACCAAGACATTCAATGTCTCGGTGATTTTCTGGGAAAACACATCCGCATGTGGTTGGGGAAACTCACCCTCAACATAACTCTCTCAAGAGTTATCACTCTGAGGAACGCTGGAACTTTCTTCCAAAACGTGTTCTGACTGTGAGTGCACTACCACAGTCATGTCCTCTTCGATCGACTCTCTGTTAGTAGATATCTATTTAACGTGTTGTTCATTCTGAACAACACTCACCTCTCTTCTGGAGTGCACCCTGCTTGGTGTGCATCCATGTCCCAATCCACTCGATCTTTATGAGTGATGAACCTTCGGCTCAGCCTGCGTTTCTACACAGGTGCCAAAAGCTGGTTCCACAGTTTTGTGGCCTTCTACACTGTGGTCTTGTGCATTCGTACTGACAGCCGTACCAAAAGTGAGGCTATCGCACTCACTCGTAGTACATCCACAAGCTTGTGGACGCTCCAAGACGTTCATCAGATAACCATCTGATGAACAAACGGCAGTTATCTACGCGGATCGATGCTGCCAGCTGTCCATGGCTCGTATCTTCTGAACCATGGTAGACCGAGGATGACATCAAATTTGTCATCCAAATCCGGTACGATGAAGTCATCATCGTACGCTTACCATTTAGCGTGTAGTGGATTGATTCCCACTACACGTTTCTTCACTATTACGGATGCGCCTGTTGCAAGGCACACCGTAACTTTCGTTAAGGAAGATCTCGCTCAACATAGTTGATGCTACTATCTTGTAGTGACTGGCGTCGAATAAAACGTTTTGACGCCCCATATTAAAATAAAGAGCGACGTAACATTCCACTTGTCACATCGATCTTCAAAGTGGTGAGGGACACCTCATCACTAGGGGCAGCAGCACAGTAACTCTGCATGTTGGGCGCAATCTTCGTCAAGAGTCCTGAAAATTATCTTGACGTTCCTAGATCAGCAGGGTGCTCCGCCCCTACTGACCCTAATCTTTTTTTGGCTGTCCGACTTGCTGTCGAGGTTTAGCGACATGGTCGGACCCGCGCCTTGGACCTTTCTTTGGCCAACGGCGGTCATCAAGTCCTGTCTTTGGACGTGATGTGGTGCTTGGGACACTACGCTCACGAGCGTAGTGCCCAATCTTTTTACAGCAATGGCATCTTGCCGTTCGCTTGTGACTCAGAGAGCAAGAGTTCTCGCTCTCGATGTAATAGAGGTCCATTCGTTCGGGACCTCCGGTTTCCTGTCGTCTAGTTGGACGATAGTTTGACGAGTTAGCCTGAGACTGTCCCAAGCTGAAGCCTTTTTGTTCCGCATACGCTGTCGCCTTTTCAAGCGTATGGAAGTCCTCTCGGAACATGTAGGTCTTCACCGGCCCATCTACAAGGCCGTAGATGAGCACGTTGATGAGTGTGTGCGCATCAGCAGGGTTTTCCTAGACGCTACTCGCAAGGTAGCGTAGGTGTTGTGCGTAAGCGTGCACGTCACGCTTGCCTTGCTTGACCCTCAAGAGGGCAGAGCGTGATCTGTAATCGGCTCTCGGCGGCTCAAACGTCTCTTTGAGCCGAGACTTCAAGATCTCTACTGACTCAAACACGTTTGGGTCGTGAAGCTTGAGTCCTAAGGCCCAAGTATTTGCTTGTCCTGTCAAATTTGACAGGGCAAAGGTGACTTGCATCTCGTCACCCTCGATGTGAAGGGCCCTGATGGCGTCGTCTAACTCGACGAACCATCTCAAAAGGTAATCTTCATCGGTTCCCTTGTACCTTAAGATAGCTATCTTCAAGGTTTCGGGTCGACGCATGTTCGTCGGCCCGCTAATCGACTGATGATAGCCTTGCTGGTAAAGCAAGGCTACCTTCTGTCTTTTGACAGCAAGTTCCCCTTGTAGGAACTTGTCGATAGCGGCATGTTGTTGGTCTCTGTTTAGAGGCTCCAATATGCCACTGATGGCGGTTTCGCCCATAAGCACACTCATGCTGCCGACTATCTCCAGTACTGATTCACTCAGATGGGAGTGTTTTCACGTGTGAAGCGAAGGCTGTCGTTTTCAACGTCCAACATGTTCAGGTTGACGGACATTAAGTAGTCGTTGGACGGACACTAAGTAGTCGTTGGACGGACTAAGAAGTGCTACCAGGTGCAACGGGTCACCCTTAGCTCGGGTGCCACGAAACTTTACGTACACTAGTACATGCAGAGGGAGGTAATCTCTCTAATCCGCTATTTTGAGTAAAGGTAAACCGAGAACTGTATTTACTATAGTTTTTGAGCTATTAATATGACTTCAGTCTTTATCTGTCTATTTTAATCTAAATTGTTGTATGACGATAATCTGCTCACCAGACATTGCGCGCGTCTAGCAGCATTTGGTGGTAGTCTACGGTTGATACGTCTTTTATCAACCAATCTTTGTGCAGCATGTGAATGTTTTTCTAGGGGGGATAATGTTCTTTCCATATTATCCATCTTAAAAAAAATTGGTGGGATATTGTCATGCTAGTCAATCTCCCTATTGACACCGTTCGGTGTCGATGTCATGTAACGGGCTACCCCGATACACAGAAGCTACTAAAATTTATCACAAACACTCTCACACACATCGCACGACATTTCAATAAAAAATGTGTCGGAACGGTTAGGTCGTTGCTGTTTCTGGAGAAGATACCACTGCGTCGAAAAGGGACTCGGGCATACTTAGCCGAGCACACGCACCCCTTACTAGATGGTCGTGGTTCGGATTGTCTATCACCTGGTTGTGATACCTATGTGCAAAATCTCTGGTATATCTTAAGCCATGCCATGATTGCTGGAGAATGATCCAGGGGCTGACCATGACTGGGGCCAGTAAATTTAGGCACCCCTGTAGGTTCGCGCTCCAGCAACTCCATGCATGCGTAGAGCATGGCACCCGAAGTTGCGGTCGCTACTTTTATGCCTTCGCTTTGCGATCGCACGCAGATGGCAGACGCAGGTGGCCCAACACTGTTTATGCTCCTATTTATATCGACGAATGCCGCACGGTAGAACACACCCCTGACAAAAATAATTCGATGTGAAAAAGATCTACACACAAAATATTAGCGAAACGAATGGCTTGGAAAATCTTGGCTTTTATTAAATCTTCCCTTGCAACCAATATTAGCGAAACGAATGGCTTGGAAAATCTTGGCTTTTATTTAATCTTCCCTTGCAACCTGACACTAAGGTCCTAAATCTCGTAACCGAAACTACAAGCAGAGATGGTGGGATCTTCATGATCGGCCATGCATTACGTTCCTCCCACTTTGTATGACCCGTAAGATTAACAAACTCCCGACACCAATGACTGTCTTCCCGTGCACATGTTATATTTACGTAGGCCAATCAAGCAGCCAAAAAGGCTCAGCGTGCCAGCTCCTCACTCGCTACGCGTCTTCAGCAGTGGATCGTGCCTCTGAACGTGGTGTACCTGCTCTTTCGGATCCTGTGGCACCACCAATCCGTGACTACGTGGACATTGGCGGGTTACGTTTTTCTGACATTATCCACCTATCTCAGTTACGCGTGGGCGGTTAGGGCAGCTGAAGAAGGGGGCAGTACCGAGTACGTGAAACTGGAGATCCAGCTCTCTGATACTGGATACAATTTATCGAATTCGAGAAACTCACGTATAATTTGCTTTGCATGACTTTTAAACAGGTATGCGATGGACATTTTAATTGTCACGCTGTTCGTGCAGACTGGAGTCATGTTCTCAACCTACTTTTGGCTCGTGTATCTCGTTCTTCCGGGCTACTTGCTTTTCCATGGAAGCCGCATGTTACTTAACTACGTCTTCACGTCAAGTCCATCCACAGATGAGGATGAAAACGACCCGGCCGCTCTGAAGAAGAAGGAAAAGGCAAAGCGCAAAGCTGTGCAGCCGAAATACAAGAACAGCCGTCGATAAATGGACGCTTTCCAGCTGAGAATACGATGATTGGATTGTGTTAATGCTACCAAATTTATGCAATTCCACCCATGATATTGGTTTCGTGGTGCTCGATAATCTCTTTCTTTGTCTGCTCAGTGCCCATCGTGGTTGTTGTCCGTTTCAGCACCGATAGCGTTGCCGTGGAGAATCACGTTTGGCCGGGTGACACGCACTTTAATTCAGATCCATCGTGATTTTTGGCACAGAAGCAGAGCGTACACAGGTCATCCAGCTTTCATCAATTGTTCGCTTTGATCACGGCCTGGCAAAGTGCATTTACAGCCCAGAAGGTATCTCAGTGTGAATATTCATCCCTCGCAAGGCTTGGACGTAGCATTTAGCGTAGGCAAACAAACTTCGTCACAACTTGAAGTCCTCCACGGTGTTCGGGCACAATCGCATGTTGTTGGTACCGCCTTGCGGGCTTGATGGGCAGAAAGTCCGTTGTTGAAACGTCCCAGTGGTGTGGTGTTTGGCTCCCTACTAAATTTGCAGATTCCTCATTTCTCGAACTAGTCGAGGACCGTAGAGTCTGTCCGACTCGATCCCCTAGCCAGGTCCTTCCGCTCTTTTTCAATCTGTGTCGCGATGGCGGTTACGGTCTTCGGATGGAAAGGCAAACTGGTTGGAGCGTCTGGGTTTGCAAATGGGTGCCGAGCAATCTCGTACAAGAGGTCATCAGGTAGACGGTGGAACAATTGCAAAGCGATCGAAATAAGCAAGTCTGACTGGAGAGGGGGCACACATCGGAGGCTGAGCACCTTCATCAAGTCCATGTCCCTTTTCGTTGCAGCAAACACAGCAAACGCATTTTGTTAGGCCATTTGAAACAAACAATGACAACATGCGTGACATCCGAACTCCTTACAATCGCAGCAGTTGTTCTCGGAGAAGTACCGTATGCGCGACAGCTAAAACGACTACAAAGTGCACGCCTACTGCAAAAAGCTATTGTCACAACAAACCAGTGCAGGAAACAAGAGTGAGCAAGTTTTGCTCTTCAGAGGTACTGTACGGCAGACAACAACAAATACAAAGCGTACCACATCCCAGACACGAAGAAGCTCGTGGAGTGGCGGTACACAAGCAAATAGGCTCAAGATCAGTGGAAGAGCATATATCCGCGCTGTAATGCCTCGTCGAAACAAGTGCTGGTACAGATCCGGGTCCAACTTAATCGATACAACAACAAAAGTGGCAACAACTCTCAGTGTTCATGGGTTATCCGTCATGACATACGATAGGTGATACACTCGAGTAGCAACTACCGTTTCGAGGCATTTGTCCACAAGAGCGCAGCCCTTTTCCACACCTTGTAGCCGAGCCGCCATATAATGTGGACAATGGCGGACAATAAGCTGGCAAAAAGTGTGGTACGCATCTGCCTCGGGCAAGACGTACAGCAATGGTGCACATAGCACATTCATTCCTTGAACGTATCTATGTCGGCATTGTCGTCTCGTCGTCAGAGACAGCAGAGACATGTGAAAAAAAAAGAACCTCATGCTATATCGTTTTCTTGTCCATAATAAAAAGAAGAAGAAAAAAGAAAAACGAATCTGAAACATCAGCTTTGGCCTGTACCTGATCGATGGCAAATTGCCATCGCGCACCTGTTCGCCTTCTTCCGGTGTTTTCTCCTTGCCCGGGTTCGCCCCCAATTCGTTGATAAAGACATTCAACAGTCGCACTAGTTTCTCCTCGGGCACCCGTTGAGCAAACTCTGGGTCGCCTCGAAACGTCCGGAACGTATCATTCCGAATATCGCCGTCATAATGCGAGGCGCCGCGGCCGACAAGTGCTGCGTATTTCGTCATATCGACGTCGTTTTCCACGCCTAAAAAGGTCTTCCACACACGCCCTCGCAACGAGCAGAGACTGGAATTCGCATCAAGAGTCGATGCCTCGTCTCGGGGCAGACCGTGCACAATCACGAGGCGCTTGAGCTCTCGCCAACGAGAATAGTCGGACGTGATTGCGTCATCGGCTAAGAGCGCATCATATTGTTCGCGCAGTGGAGTATCCATAATGACCCGAGACTCGGAGGAGGTATAAGTCATGGATAGATGCGCTTCTGATTGGTCGAAATGATCGATCGAAGCTCTCTCGCGTCAGAACCGGCTACAAAGCGCGTGGCTCGCAAAAAACGCTCGAGGCTGAGTGGCTACACTTCTATTTCTATAGTCAAGAGGTTGTAATGGCAAGAGACGAGGCAGCGTTCAAAATAGAAGTGGGCGCCCGCGTGTTAGTGCGTGGCAAGTATGCAGGGGTGAGTTGGTTCCGTGTTTTCACTTAACGCGACAGGGCGGGAAAGCGAGGGGGAGGGAGTCAGCTTGTCGCGTTGACATCCACGTGTTCTTACCCTACCCTCGACTGCTGACTAGGTAATCCGTTACGTACCCGAGCGTCGATCGGCTCTAGTTGGCGTAGAGCTCCTTCGAGCGCGAGGAGACAATGACGGAGTTGCTGAGGACGGTCAACGCCATTTTGCATGCAAGCCTCTGCACGGCATCTTTGCTCGCGAAGAGCAGCTCGGCGTACGTTGCGGTTACTACATTACTGTTGTGCTTTTTCGAATCTTTGCTTTTTTCAAGTTGCTTCTTTTCCTTTTCTGTTAACGCATGCCTTACCTGTGTTTCTTTTTATAGGTTTTTTCAGAAAAAGACGGGGCAGCGTGTGTAGTACAAAGTGTCTGGCGACGTTCGAGGGCATCGCAGAAGTTTCGTCATCTCGTGTATTCCCATGCGTGGAATCTATTGGACAGTACACAAGAACATCTTAATCTGAAACGCTCCGAGCTGTTTAAGTCGGCAGAACATACGCTTGCCCAGCTGACGAACACACAGCAGGTCAGACGGGACGGCTACTTCTATCCACCATGTTATATTAATATTGTTTATTTCGATCACTGCCTCTGTGTCTCTTTTCTAACAGCTGTCTTCTTGTTCCTATTGTGCTTGTTCTTGCAGTCGGTTTCTCGCACCGTATCAGATGTTTTCGTGGCAGGGATAACGATCGACCCTTCGTACGCAGGACCTCATGTAACCTGGCCACTGCAACTGTCGAATGTCTTGGAGGTGTTGGATTCATTCAAAACGACGCAACTTTTGCACTACAAATACGTGCTGGAAATCCTCAAAGAAGGCGTGCGATCGCTCGGTCCTTTGCCAACGCTGCAAGAAATTTCGCTCGTAGAAGGAGAAAAACTCACGGTGGTAGGCGATCTCCATGGCCAGTTGCAGGATCTTTTCTCCATCTTTTCTGTCAACGGCCTTCCCACTCTGACCAACAAGTATCTTTTCAATGGGGACTTTGTGGACCGTGGAATGTACGGCACGGAAGTAGTTATGACTCTCTTGCTCTTTCGTTTGCTGTACCCGACAAGTGTGTTTCTCAATCGAGGCAACCACGAGTCCCGGAATCAAAACTCGTGGATGGGGTTCGAAGATGAAGTGTGGGCGAAATATTCCGGGGCTGATGAAGACGATTTCGAACGCCCTGCTCTCATTTTTGAGTCTTTCCAGACGCTGTTCGAGTCCATTCCGCTCTGCGCTGTTCTCCAGCAGAAGATCTTTGTCGTACATGGAGGACTGTTTTCGCGTGATAATGTCACGCTGGCCCATTTGCGCGGTATTTCGCGCAAGCGTGAGCCCCCGCTTCACGAAACAAATTTTGAGGACAAGATCTTTGAAGACATGTTGTGGAGCGATCCACGTCCCATTCAATCGCGTCAACCTTCGGAACGCGGAGCTGGCGTGGAGTTTGGCGTTCATGTCACCAACAACTTCTGTTTGGTAAACAAGATCGCGCTAATTATTCGCTCGCACGAGTGTGTACTCGATGGATACGAGATTCTTCATGGAGGTCGACTGATCACGTTGTTTTCAGCATCAAGGTACTGCGGAACCCAGATGAACAAGGGAGCCTTCCTGACATTAGGACCAGACTTGCATCCGGAAATCCAGCAGTTTTACGCCACATCCTTGAACGAGAGCACGTTCAAGGCACCGGAAAAGGCGCAGATGCAAGGTGTGTTGGAAGAAGATACGCTTCGAATGATCGCGGAGCGTATTTGCGACCACAGGGCGTCATTGTACTGGTACTTTACGCAGCACGATGAAGAGCACGATGGCACGGTACCTCGGTTGATCTGGGCTGAAGCTCTACGGTCCGTGTTGCAAATCGACTTACCTTTCTTGACGTACCAGCCGAAGCTCGCAGAAGTAGTAAGTGACGACTCGGGACGGATCAATTACTCGCATTTCTTGGCTCGTTATCGCATTGAAAACGATGCCATGGACAACAGCGGCTGGCAAGAAAGTATCATTGCACTCATTTGCAAAAAGCTGTACCGGGCAATGAGCGCTGGTGATGTGCAGCAAGCTTTCAAGGTGTTCGATGCCGACTCAAACGGTTTTATCGAGTACGAGGAGTTTGTCAGCACGCTCAAGCAGATGGATACGGGGCTGGCAGATCAGCAGATATTCGAACTTATGCGCACCGCCGACACGAACGACGATGGACGAATTGATTTCAATGAGTTTGCACAACGATTCGAGGTCATCTTCACGGACCAAGGTAGGAACTGCGAGATCGAAGCGGTGGAGCCATCTCCGACTCCGACGGCTTCAGGAACGGAGATGATACCGCCTACTGCACAAGAGAAGACTACAGGGACAGAGCCTATCTTTATGCGTCGGGTATCCTCAGGAGAGGAACAGTCGAAGTTCACACCGCGACCTGCAAGCAACCTCGACGTGGAGACAATGCAGGCGCTCTTGCAAATTGGCAAAACCTTGTTTGCGCTCCGCGGGTCCTTGCAGTATCACTTCTTCCACTTCGACAAGAACGAAGACGGTGTTCTCTCTCGTAACGAGTTCGAGCAAGCGCTGGAGCAGCTAGGCTTTCACTTTGAGCAAAGTCTGATAGATCGGGTAATGGCTGCTGTGGATAGTGACGGGGGTCTGTCCATCGACTACAAGGAGTTCGTAGCAGCATTTAGCGTGCAAGATATCAAGGAAGAAGCAGCACTAGTGTCCGGCGACCTCACGTGGCAGAACTCCGTGTTGCAGCAGGTCTCGAATGTCTTTTACCAGCACCGCATTCACATTCGCAATGCCTTCCGCATGTTTGACGCGACAAATAGCGGGGTCATCAGTCGCGACAATTTCCGCACAGGTATCCGGACCTTCAACGTCGTGCTCAATTCTCCGATCTCGGATGACCAAATTGAAGAGCTGCTGACATATCTCGATAGCAACAACGATGGCGTGATCAGCTACAAGGAGTTCTTTGACAGCTTTCGTGTGGTGGACGTCCGCATTGATGAGGACAAGTCGTCATCGATAAAGTCTTTAGGAGAATCGACTATGGAGGGCTAGACGTCCATGCCTGCTGCCAAGTCTATGATTGACTGCAAATACGATAAATAGCGATGAAGCTTATCCCGTTTGACTAGCAAGAACTCCTTGAATGTACTTTGCCGTTGCAGCTACTGCACTTTCCGCGTCGTTCGTGCTGCTGCTAAGTCGCAGCTTCCTGTTTGGATAACCACATTCGACCTCGATGACAGTCGGGTCCTGCTCACTGTCATAAGTGCACGCGGTGATGATGTGCGTAAACATGGCGCGTTTGCCTTCCTTGTTCACACTAAAGCAGCTCACGTTGGTACCTGAAAACACGAAATACCGTCGCACTCGCTGGCGTCGCTGGAGCAAGTGCTGCCACCATGGAACGTGGACATACAGCCACACAGTATGAGTGCGTTCCAAGTCTTCTTCATCCATTAAAACCGACGGTAACTCGTCCGGCTCGTGAAGGTTCCATCCCACTCTACTTGACAGCATCGGTGCCGTCAAGGCCCGTAACCGGTAAGCTCTTTGCAGCACCACTTGAAGTCTCGTGGCTTCTTTTGATAGCTCGGTCGTTGCTCGACGAGCGCTTCCCTTCTCCTGTCGAGCTTTCGCCACCTGAGTCACCTTGACCATTGCAGCAAAAGTGCCGTACCAATGCTCAAAGTCTGCCCCCATGCACGTATGGAGCAGCACCGTGCGGTCTTCATAGTCCATGAATGCAAATGTTTTATTCCGTGACTGCACTCGATGCACGGAAATAACGACATGGCGACCAACAGGCACCAAGCCTTGCTCTGCGTCTTCGACTGAGGCGTAAAACCTGCACACGAGTTCCACCAGTCGACAATAGCGTTTCACAAACGTCATGCGACCAGGTCGAGACGTTGCAACGTGAACCCATCCCGAATACTCGCCAGACGTGCTATCGAGTGCCAAGACACCGTCAGCAGCTGCAACATCCATGTCGAGCTCGTTCAAGTCGGTACATCGCTGCTCAGTGGCAGCAGATGACGTCATCGAGCCAAAGGAGAGCGCTTTTGTCAACCTTAAGCGAACTGTAGCTGCTCGACTTGGCACAGAGGTTGCGTCTGGTGACGAATGCGGTTCCAGCCACTCAGTTGATGCTACTCTCTCCATTGTAGTTAGCCTACGGGTTAAATACTGACGGTAAGAAGAGAATTGCGGATGTGGAGCAAGTAACCTCAAGTACCATCGGGCGTCAGCTGCTTGACTGCTTCTACTTCTACTATAAAGTGCCGTGGTTATTGTATTGGCCTGCCTCTGCTCCAATTGTCAAGTGTCGGAGTCGTCTACAGATGGGCATCATCATGATTTAGAAAGACGATTTAGAAACCACGGGCGTCAGCATTCCGACCCGCGATCTGGCACGAGTTGTTCGTTTGGTACAGTGCTTACACAGTCGGGCATCTGGATGTGATGCTGATTGGCTAAACGCGCGCTAATTGCAAGCTGACTATTTGTGGATAGTGCCACATACCTCAGATTTTTGCTGAAGTCGAGTGTGGACATGATGACGATTTTGTCGCCCTGGTACGGATAAACAATAGCAGACGGTACCTCAGTCTCACTGAAAATATGTGAGGCGTTATTATGAGTCATGATATAAAATCTCAGTCTGAAGCTGTCATTGGTGACAACCAGTGTGACCAACTGGACATTTGTCTAGGCACAAGAGGCTTTGTCAT